TGCAGCTTGGGACAGCAGTGCCTGTGTGTCTGCCAGGCTGGTGCTGTCCTTCGCGTGCCACAGTGAGTGTGGCTGCGAACACGAGGATACTTGGGCTGCACTCTAAGTTTCTGAGCAGCTCTGCAGACTATAGGAGGGTTGAGGGAGAACCCAGAGCAACCAAGTGAGCATCTCTGCTGCTGCTGCTTCTGGTCTTCCTGAAGCCCTCACTGACATCACTGCATGCAAACTGACGCCTTCGTGGCCCTTTAGAACTCTAAATGCTCTATATTTATATCCCATTCTTTCCTTTCTATTAACTCCTTCTTGCCTACATCTGTGCTTTGCATGCCTTAGTGAACTAAGCTTGGGTATGTCAAAGGCTGAGGTCAAGAAGGGGCTATAAAAATGGTGTAGTGGTGTTTTATTTTGGCCTTATGACTATTCTTCCAGTATGCTGAGCTGATGTGAAGCTAATAATCATGCTTAGATACTATAGAAAGTATGTATTCATGTATTGTGGATAAATTATTTATACTCTTATAAAAATTAATATAATTAATAGCCAGATGATTGCTCAAGACTGACTCCACTCCTGTAAGCAGGGAGCTGTGGTATATGGCTTTGCTTTGGTTTTTATAGAGATGCTTTTGAACTTGTGTGCTGTCACATATAACCTGCCAGTTCATTCCTGGTGTGTTGTCACCTGCAAGTACATTGGGGCCTCTGAGCCATAGCAGATGCTCTCATATGAAAGGGGCAGTACTCAGTCCTGAAGTCATTCCCTGTAAAGCCTCATTTGGGACCAAAGCTATCCAGTGCCCAGGCAGGGAAGAGATCCTCTGAACGCTTTTGTCATGCCAGCAAGTCTAGAGTGTTGTAGACATGGGATGTGCATATACACACACACCCCTACCTTTGTGCTACCAGGTAGCAGAGAAGGCAAAATTGATGCCAAGCATCTGTCTCTGCTCTAGAGGGTATTTGTGCAGGACCTGGCAGCTGGAGCATTTTCATCTCTAATTCACCCCTCCTTTTGCATCCAAGGCAGGACAACATGTAGGAGAAAAGAATTCTTAGTTTTAGCAGCTAAAGTTTCCAGCTAAGTCACCATAATGTGTCTGAGACCTGTGCCCCTTTTAGCACTATTCTTCCCTCTCCCTGTTTTTTATTCACTATATTGCTCTTTACCCCTAATTATGTCAGCATGTGGACACACAGCTTATGGCCCTGGCAGATGCGATGCAGCACGCCAGACAAGTGACTGCCGGTCAGCTCACACTAACGTGCTTATCTCACTGCCAGCACCAAGTGAGCTGCTGCTGCAGGCAGGGCAGCAGCACCCGTGCTGCCTGGAGAAGGTGGTGCAGTCATTCATACAGCTACATTGTGGTGGGACCTTAAGTCCAGAGCAAACATTATAACTCATGACTGACACCCAGTGCCCTGGCTGCCTCCAGGCAGATGAACCTGAGCACATCCAGCACATAGAGCAAGCTGCCTGGCTGTGACTCGCACGTTCTTCCTTCATGTGCTGAGTTATCCAACAGTAGGAGTTGGGTCCATCTAGAGCCCTGTAGCCTGACCTGACCCATGCTCTCCCATGTCTGTATCCCAGGGGTGATGCAGGATCTCTGGTTAGAATGTGAATTCAGAAGGCACACACCACGTGTGGTGGTGTCTGTGGCTAAGAGGGAGGTACCGGGACAAGAGGAGGGGAGGCTCTGCTGGCAGGAGGTTTTTCTTCAGGACAGGGTACAGTCCCATTCCATGTAATACTCTTCTTTAACCTATTTATTTATTTTTAAAGTATCTGTGTAGCAGAGTTGTGCCCAACTGTAGTAACGCTGTGACCATTGTAAACACTGACTGAGATACCCAATTTTTGATGTTCACAATACCAACTTCTGAAATAAACGGCTTCCGGGCCCTGACTATTTCCACAAACTGACTCCAGAGCCTTTTTTTTTTTTTTCCCCTTCCTTTTTTTGTTACTTTTTTCCTCTGTTACGAGACCCACAAATGGCTTCGAGCAATGCGGTAGAGCACAGACGCAGCTGCACTGCTCCATTGCAGGGCTGTGATGTGGCTGTGTCCCGCCTTAGGAGCCTCTTGATCTCCTTCACCTTTTTCATCTGCTTCTCACAGAAGTTTTAGTTGAGCTCACCATTCTTGGGCATGAAGCGCATTCCCATGACAGCACCCCTGCTTCTCAGCAGCATCTACCCCTCTTGACATGACGGTGGTGAACACTAAAGAGTAGAGTACACAGGGCTTTTCACATGTTGCAGGAATTCACTTTGTTCAGAGCACATCAATATTTAAGCTATTCTTTGGTCAGCACTCAATTCTAAGGTATTAATATGTTGTGTTTAAAACTCTTCAGCTCTTCTTGGCTAACCAGAAATATTCCTTTTCTGGATGCTGCCAGACAAAAGATTCATCAGCTGCCCAGAAGATCTGGCTGCAGCTGGGAAGTGGGGCTGTTGAGCAGCAGAGCCCATGGAAGTCTGATCCTAAAGAGTTACAATCCCAAGAAAGAGATTGTGGTTATGAGTGATAAATGACTGTGGTATCTTCCAGCCTATTAAGTGAAGAACTGCCAAAAGCCAATAAGCCAGATAAGGTGTTTTCCACTGCAGCAAGGAGCTGCGTGAAGTTGGTCCCTGACCCCAAAGACCCAAATAGTGCAAAGTCAGGAGAAAGGAGCTGTGTTGTCCACTGGTCATGCTCTACTTTGCCCTTCACAGACATGTCCCAGTGAGTGGTAGGTATCACTCTTTCTGATACCATTCGCATCATAGTCCTGAGCTGCACTTACCATTTCCTTTCCCATTCATTTCTTCTTACAAAGCTGAGATGGAGATGTACATCTACTGTTTACATCTGTATGTGTGGTGGGGCAAATGTGTCCATGTATGTGCACTAAAGGCCTCTGCATGTTTGCAAAGCATGACACCCTTCCAGGTCCTCTGGAACCTGAAGAGGTTGGGCAGTTTCTGCTGCAAGACTGAGGAGTTCCTTGCTGCTGTTAAAGGCATGTCCTGCTTGCAAGCACCAGGAAGCTGGTTGGCTCAGATGTTGCTCAGCCTGATTAAGCTGGTCGGGATTGCTGATGTCTGCCTCGTACTAGCAGATAAGTAGTTCCATCAGATATTTTAAACTGTAATCGTAACTCTAGATTGCTTCTTCTGGACGTGCTAGCACTGCATAATCTTGCTGCATCACCTCTGTAATCTCCAAGAGAGAATGGCACATGCATAAATCACCTCACAGCACAAGGCTGAGGTACATATATTCCTTCACGCTCTGATTTACTACTGGCTTTCCTCTGACAGAAGAAAAGCCATGTTGCTGCTCTCATCTGTCTCTGTTTTCATCCAAAGTGAGCTTAACCCTCCAAATGTTGCAGATTGATTGTATGCTGCAAAGTCTGATCTCTCTGTTGTGAAATACATACGCTTCATACTTGGTTAGTACTTCATGACTCAACAAGTGTATTACCTATTTCTAACTAAACAGAAACCTTACAGGAGATCCACGAGAGATCTTGTTCATATTCTAGACTTTCTTTCCTGTACTTTGTTCAATTGTTCAAAATAATACAAAATTCCCATACTTAGAACATTGCAGCCTTCTTAGAATGCTCATTTTGATGGTATATGGACACAAGTGAGACCCCAACATAGTCAACTAAACCTTACAGACTAAATCAGTACATTATTATACGGTGCAATATAAAGGAGGTAAAAATAGGAGTAAGTTTTTGACAGATTGTTCAGCTTAGGTTGATCTTTACATTTTAAACCATTGCAAAGGTAGGTGAGGAAATGGGGTATCAGAAGTAATTGCATAGTTTATTTGCATTTAGTAACTGAGAGTGAAATACTGTGAGAGCTTTAGAATACAAAGTCTTTTCATACAGTGGATTAGAAGTCAGTTTGTATCTGTAGTACCTCAAAATCAAGCTAGCTGGTACAGGTACCCTTAGTACATTTTGTCTCTTCTCTCTGGTCGTGTGTTCTCAAGTTGGACACGCTGTTCTACAGCTTGGAAAGAACCCATTGAAAACAACTGACAGACCTAGAAATACAATGGCCATTACTGTTGCCAATGGAAATTTTTTCCAGTTACTGTAGTGGAGATTGGTTTTTACTCACTAGAAGCAAGGCAGTTCCTGGAGTGTGTGCTGCAGGAGCACAGTTCCCTCTGGATGGCTATGCTAGTACATACTTGGGGCTAATTGTGTTATGAGAAAGGAAAATGTAATGCTTTAGGCTTCAATTTAGGGTTGGAAAACCCAGGTTTGTGTCTATCTTCTATCATGGGATTTTTATGTGACCCTTGACAAGTCACTTAGCTTCCTTTTGCTTCTCTTTCATATCTGTAAAATGAGAGTAACGAGTCTTCCTTACCTCACAAAATAAAAGCAAATGTATTAAAGAGGCTTGAACGTTAGTTTTAAAACAGAGCTCTTGTGCCTGCATCTTTATCTAGATACCCGTAAAACTAGTTTTCTTTAGACTGGCATCAGAGGGAAGATGCTGATTCTGGTTCTAAAGACAAAAAGACTTGTAGATAACTACTTGCTTCCCAGTCATGACATTTCTAAGCATGTTGTTTGCATGTGCACACAACAAACATAAGGTGTACTCCATCACTGGTCCTATGTGTTATCTGCACTTTGTAAAGCATTCTGGGGGGCTCTGGGTAGTTTCCTCATCCAGGGAGAGAACCAAGATACTGTGTCTGTTTGCACCTGAGTTCTTCAACTCTTCCACCACTTTTCCCACTCCGTCTTGTGGGACAAGCTGGTGCACAATGACTGAAGTAAGATTGAGCAGTTCTTCCTTCCCTGGCTTCAGAAGTGTAGGAACATTCCCATAAACTCCTGAGCATTCTGCATCTTGCACTCCTGCACTGCAAAATAGTTCAAACCTGATAATGCAAAAAGTACAACTGAGAGAGAGGTTACTGGAATGTTCTCATTGCTAAATGTCTGTCATGCGTGTCATTTGCAGGTACCTTTCTGGGGATTCCATCACTCTCTTCCCCAGTGGCACTGGGACTGGCTTCACTTCCCCTGCTACATCTCTCTTTGTCCCAACACCACCCAGTATTCTCCAGCTGACAAACCAACAGCTCTTCAGGTCCCCACGCAGAGCTTCTCCTTCCTCTCTTCCTGGTCGTCTCAACAGGGCACTCTCACTGGGTACCATCCCCTCCTTGGCCAGAGCAGGTGAGTGTGTGCCCAATGGAAATGACAGTGGAGTGGTGCAATGCTTCAGAAAGAAACGGGCTGGGAGGCATCCACATAGAATCACAGAATAGTTTGGGTTGGAAGAGACCTACAAAGGTGTATTCTGACCCCCCTGCAATGAGCAGGGACTTCGTGTTACAGTCCTGTTTAGGGATTGCTGCTGCTGTGGCACAGAGTGTTGGTAATGTGGGGCTTGGCATTAAAAAATTAGGCAGCTGACTATTGCCACCTTGGTGAAACAGAAAGTGTCAGTGAGTGTTTGCCTGCTGTGGCTTACAGAAATCCAGAGGCTTCTCCAGGCGTTCATGGCACTACAGCACAAGCTACAATGTGTGGGAGAGAGAAGGGAGTCAGCCGTGGGAATGGAGAAGAGCAGCATGAGGAAGTGGTTGGGAGCATGAGGATAACGGATCTGGCAAGAGCGACGACTCCTCCCCTAGCTGCTTTGTGTAGCTTGCTTTTCTTGCTGCAGCTGGGGTAGAGCTGAAGGCAGGCTCTTCCTGAAGCCTGGATTTGATATGCATTAGCACAACTATTGAAACTGCTGTAGAGACCCCATTTCCTCCTGTTTTTAAGGGCTCCGTGTGATTTAGGGAAGATCTGTTTTGCCAGATCCACTAAAAGAGAGAAAGACCAGCCAGGCAGCATGGCAGCTTTGGACACAGCCTGCACCTTCCTGGTTCCCAAACTGGCATGGGAAGGGCAGGTGTGAATGCACCAGATGGCTGGATCCCCCCTGCATGTGGAGTCACCCTTGTGAGGTCTGTGCTTGCTTTTGCTTCCTGCAAAGCCAGACAGACTGGAGAGGGCATGCTGTTGGGGCTGAGTATAGAAGGATACAACCGTATCTTCACCTTCTTCCTTTCAAAGCAGAGGCAAACCAGCTGTGGCACAGTCACAAGGTAGATAATGTGAACCTGATGTGGTATTTGGAAGTCATCTAGCAGCTTTGCTAGGAGCTGGTGAAGAAGTTGCCACCTTTGGAAGCTGCCCCATCCTTCTGTTGCTGCCTTCACAGCAACTAAATTGTGTGTATACTTGTCATCCACTCCTATGCAACATTAGATAAATTATTATAAGCCAGTCCTGTGGCAGCTGGGAAAAATGGATTATCCTGATGTTGGCATGTAGCCCACCCAGGAAAACAGGGACATTTTTCCTGCCTGCATTTACCACCCATTCCCCTTCTGAGACAGATGACAAGCTGATGCAGTTACATTTTTGGGGTACAGACTGAGTCAGCTGGGTTCAAACTGCTTTATTTTTGCTCTTTAGATTCTGGCTACTTGTTCAGTGGAAGTCGCCCAGCCTCACAGTCATCTCAGTCTAAGGAATCTCCTACATCAGGTAATGCACGAGGCCTTCCAGGGCAACTCTCTTTGCAGGATTTGCAGGGAGTGGGTTGAAACACATGATCCAAGTTTAATTCTTTCCTCCCTGCTCACATCCCAGTGAAAATGCCAGGTTTGCTGTTAGAAATGCTGCACAGGGAGTTCCAGCTAACAGTGGGATTGCATTAAAATAAAGCACTGGATGTGTTGGATGTCCTTCTCCTTGGGAGAGGTCAAAACCAGCGAGACAAAGCCAGGATCCCTTCCCTGCTCTATAGCTGGGTTGAGACTGCTTTGACAGGAGACTAAACTGTTCCTAGGGCAGCTAGAAGAGCTTTCCAAGCCAGAGAAACTGCTGCCCTTCTGCTCCCGTGTCCTCCAGTGACCTGTCTGTTGCCCTCCTGACCCCAAATGGGTCCTTTGGTGGTTTGTGCTGCTTAAGCATTTGCTGCTGGAAATACAGGCACAGCGTGAGCTAATGCAAACCTCCTCACATCCTGATACTCTTTGCCAACAGCCTTTAAAGGACATGCCAGAACAGTTGATTCACCTGCAAAACAGGCTCCACTGAGCAGACACAACTGAGCAGAGAGAAAGCTCACTCAGCTCCTGATAAACCCTTCTCTAGTCTAAGCCATTCTTGAGTTACCAAAGTGCATGTGGAATTCCCCATGTTTTGCCATCTGGGAACTTAAATGAATAAGGAATTTTAGTACAAGATATGTTGAACATTTGCAACTCCCATTCCCTTTTCTTATAGAACCATAAAATCCCAGCCTGGTTTGGGTTGGAAGGGACCTTAAAGCTCCTCCAGTTCCAACCCCTGCCACGGGCAGGGACACCTTCCACTAGAGCAGGTTGCTCCAAGCCTGTGTCCAACCTGGCGCTTGAATGTTGCTGGGGATGGGTATCTTGTAGAACTGTTAAAGAAAACAGTGCCTGTTGTGTGGGGCCGTGATCTCATCATTTTCTCTATGGGATGTTTCTGTTGCAGAGCACTTCGTGCTGCCAGGCAGCTGTGCTCCCTCCCGCATCCCTTCCCCAGCACCCTCGGTGGCTGGCTCTGTGACCTCCAGCTCGGGTTCCCTGCGGTACCGCCGGCCACTCATCAGCCCTGCCCGCCTGAACCTGAAAGGACAGAGGCTGCTGCTCTTCCCATCTCAGAATGAAGCTCAGCTCACTCCATCTAGCTCAGAGGAGCACACCCACTCAGACAGCAACGTCTTTGCCACTGAGCTGCCCTCCTTTCCAAAGAAGAACCTCAGTGAGCGGGGAATTCCTGGTATGCTGCCAGCCTGCTGCCCTCTTGGAAGTGCACTTGTAGGAAGGAGTTGGCTTGCAAGCAAAGCCACGCATCATCTAGGTGACACAATAGATGGGAAACCTTCAGGAAGTCCTAGATGGTGATGACTGGTGGGCTACCAAAGCTCCCTTAAGAATCCACTAGCCTGGAGAGCCTCTTGTCTGCCGGAACAGATGTCCTTTTCTCACTTAGTGGTGCCCCAGGGATACTACTGCCACTGTCTGCACCCCTGTATGGGTAACTCCTTTAACCACAGATGTGGTGATACTTATAATGGATAGCGCATGGGACAAACATGCAGGCAGCTTCTGCTGCATGACAGTGAAAATTAGCCTTTTGTTTCCAGTCCCTAGCCTCAAGCCTTTCACTATTTTACCATTACTCATGTTCTAGCTTTAGTCTGGGTAACTTCTGCTACTTTTGGCTTCCACTGGTGCCTTCTGAATTTTCACCTTTTTCTCCTTGCAGATGTGAGATCTGCTGCGGAAGGAGGGAGTATTTGCAGTGATAATTCCATCAAAAAGGAGGATCACTCATCACACTCATCTACCTGTGTGGTCGACACAACTACCAAAGGGGAGGATTTGGCAGGCTGGAGAGGTAGGTGCAAGTTATGTGAGTGCTTCGTGTATGTGTGAGCATTTCTGTGGGGGTAACAGAGATCTTTCCTGTGCTGCAGCAGTGATCTGATCTTCAGATCAAATAAATAAGTAGTAGCAAAGTGGATCTTCTGCCTGCTGTTCCAAGACCTTAGTAAGGCTATTCCTGCTCTTTGGACTGTCCGAAGAATATTGACAGAGTATTGAGCTGAGACAGAAGGAAATGGGTGGGGATGTGGGTGTTGAGAAGAGCAATGAGATGAAAACAGAACCAAAGAGAGCAGTGGAATCTTTCCTGACAGGAAAAATGCTTCAGCAATTTCTGCTTATGGTGAAAATGCTGGGCAAAGAGAGAGAAAGAGCACAAGCAATGTTTACTGTTACGTATCTCATTGATTCTTTAATATCTCTTTCTACTATTCCTTTTCTTTCTCTGTGTTGTCCTCTTCTCCTAAGGTCATTTTGGTAACTCTGCTCTCCGAGGCCTGCTGGCCCTGAGTCTGACTCTCAACGCTATCTTCACATCAGCCTACGTCTACCGGAGCCTGCGCTGATTTGTGCCAACACTCCCTTTACTTCTGGTTCCACCTGCTTTGGAGGAGACGAGGATTCAACCATGGCTTCATGTCTCATGGCCGTGCCACTGGTGCATGCTGGTTTTTAATGAACTACTGTATACTCAACTGTCATGACAAGGAACCCAGTTGCTGCTGCCATCACTTCCAGGTAGAACATATCCCAGGATTGTCCCTGGAGGTGGCAGGATTCCCAGAGAGCTCCAGTTCAAAGTGAGAGGCCAGTCAGACGGCCCTTGTGCTTGCTTTCAAAGGAACTGACCTGAGAGACGAGCCTGAAAATGAGTAAGCTGCGTTTTAGGAACCTATCCCCAGCTCTTCTTTCTGACACATAAACCTCATGCCGATGGTGCTGGTAAAATGAGGAGAATTGGAACAAACAACCTGGAGACGAGGGATCGCTTAGTAGCTGGTGCTGCGCTTTGGCTACTGTAGCAGTATTCCCAGCTTCTTTGCCCAATGGTTCCTCTTCTCTCTTCCCCTCGGCACTCTCCTCTAAATTATCAGTGAATTTTCTTTAGTTGCCTTAAGCTTGCCTGAGCACATGGGTGACCTTGGCTGCTCTGTCATATTCTTGCATCTTCTATGTCCATGTGCTTCTGCCTGGGCTGTGCCCTGAGGCCACTTTCACCAGCTGCCATTCTGGTCATGCTGGTTCTCAGAAAGTGCTGTCTGTGCATCCCTCCAGCCAGCACTGTGCTGTAGGTGTGCACAAACCCCAGCCAGGCGTCCTTCTGTGATTTGCATTAGGAGGAGGAAGCCTGCGCTTTGCTTTACCCAGGAGGCATTAATTCTGTTACAGTGAATTCTGTAGTGAGGAAGGATCTCTCTGTGATTTGCACCACAGTCCAAGGGCTTCAGCTCAGAGCTCTGCTGGTGCTTTCACTTGAAGCAGCTTGTTCTCGCTGTACATCGCACAAATCTGTTCTATTAGAAGATACATGAGGAGCTGTCTGATTGTAGACATTTATCCAGAAACCTTCAATCTAATATTGGGATTTGCTAAGTAACCATTGAAGGTACTTCTTACTTAGTTAAATGCCAAGGTGCTCTCAGTTGGGAATGCCAAACCTGCTTCTGGACAATCCAGCCTTCTGGATAGATGCTTCTTTCCTAACCCAAAGGAAGTAGCCCTAGATTTTCAAAAGCAGCTTATCATTTGGGCACTTATGCTTTTGGGTGAGCCTTCAGCGTTGCTTAGAATTCAGGGGCCATTTAGAGTATTGTGCTAAACACTCATATAGTACATCTTAGGAACAAAAAAAGTCTTGATGTTTTGATTCTTAAATCTCAAGTGCAGAGAGATTTACCAATGTGTCAAGCACACATGGTGAAGAGAGAAAGCCAACTGACATTAGCTGTGTATTTCTGAAGCAGGACTGGCTTTATTAAGATGGTTTTTTATTGTCTTTTCCTTTGGGCTCCTTTACCTCAAACTCCTGTTTCCTCTCCCTCACCCTATAGTCCTGTGTTTGCATCTTGAATTACAGCGTTACACTTCCTGCGTCTTTTCCTCCCTTTCAGTTCTGCTGCTGTTCCCTCTATTGTACTCTTGCATGTGCACAGAAGCAAAGTGTATCTCTGCTGGTAATTCTCTGCTCTGAAGCTGAAACTCACACCTCAGAGTGATGAGCACCCTTTCTTTCACTTCATTGTTTCTCTTGCATGTTTTGAGTTCCTAACACACTTAGCACATCATGGGAGTGATAGCCAGACTCCGATCAGCACTCTGTATGACACATTAAGTGGGGCTTTACTGCTGGTGATTCAAGCACTGAAAAATTAAGTCTCTCTGTCCCTTCCATTTCTTCCTGCATTCTTTTAGCAGCCACTTCCAGCTGCTGCTCCCCATCCTCCCTTCCTGCTCATCGCCTGCTCTGCATCTTACAGGCAGAGGACAGACCTCTGCCCACACGTGCTGATCTGAGAGACTCTGGAGGTGTCACTCCTGACCCTGCACCTCTCTCTTGGCCTCTTTAGAGTGTTGGTAAAGAGCTGCACAGCCACCACCTCCTGTACAAAATAGGCCTAGATCCAGGATAGAGACCTGCAGCAGGAAGATGTGCTGCAGGTTGATGATGGATTCTTTTGTAACCTGCATGAATTGTTGTAGCGAAACCGGACCCATAACCTTGCAGTTAAGAGATTTTTGTCCCTTTTATAGACTTCTGCAGGTTCATTTGAGCATGTGTATAGGCAAGATGCTAGCAGAACAACTTAGAAGCTTCTATTTAGACTTCTGCTGTTCGAGTTTCATGATGCCCTGGTGCAAGTGTGTGACATCCCATTCATGGATCCTTGCCCTAACTTCCAGTGTGCCCAGGGGCCTCCTATGCAGAGACAAGCCTGCCAGAAAATGCTGTGGGTTTGCTTGTCTTTATTATGCCAACAGAAGTGCACTGTGACTTCATGTATGCAAACTTCCCACCTCCACCTCCCAGTCTGCGCTGAGTCTCACCATTGCGCTCGCCTGGAGTCCACGTTGGTCTCTGTCTCTACCAGATTGCAATACAAATGTTCTCCTCCTTTCCAGCAACCAAGGAGCTGCAGCCTCTCAACACGCCTCTTCTTGCTTCTATTCCAGAACAGGAACACTTTAACCTGTCACTGCACTTCTGGAGCTGCTCACTGAAACTGTTCTCGGAAGGGTGACTTTGTCCAAAGCAATATAAAGACTTTGGATTTTATTGCTGAAGAGGGAAGACAACCAACTATATTTCATTCTGGTGCTAGAACACTCTCCAGTGGTGCTTTCACGGTTGTGAAGCCTTTGCTTGAGCAGCACACACGAGTACAGGTGTGTGTGCATGTGTGTGCACGTGTGCATGCATGTGTATGGAAACATTTGGAGGGTTTCATCATTTCAGAAGATCTGAGCCCATGTTTGTCTTATATTGTTGGCCTTAATCTAGCTCTTAGATACTGTGTCTATCTTGCTGCTGTTTTCTCTATGAAGCTGGTTTGGAGGAAACTGAAGTTTATGTGGCCCCCCTGTAAAGGTCTGTGACTGATGATGTTGATCTTCAGACAGGGTTGTTCAGGGGTGAGATTTTATTTTTCTAATGTCTTTCCTACTGTAAAAACTGTTGGAGTGTATGAAATGGAAAAGATCCTGACCAAATGGTCTGGTGAAGATTTGAGCATTACTTGCACCAACGATTAACGATTGTGTGGGATATAAATATGCTCCATTTCCAGACCTTTTCCATTACCTACATTCCCTTGAAAACATCCAGGTACTTTTTCTTTGGATATGAGCTTGTTGGGCATGTTCTGAGACCTTGCAGAGACTTTTGATGGTTTTGCTGTTTGAATTAGGAAGAATTTGGATTCTAGAGTCTGGTTCCAGTGCCGCAGTGTGGGCAGTTTGACAGATGCAACAAATACAATGTACACATGCCTTTGCTGGGATAGAGTTGTTAGAACAAGTTGCTGGTTTCTGAAGGTTATCATTTCTTTTTACATAAATTTTTAGCATGACATTGGTCACTGTGGCAATGTGGAAATCCCTCATTGCTGGCATATGTAGGCCAGATTTACTGAATTTTAGGCTGTGATTTGGCCTGTGAATGTTTTATTCCCACTCCCTCTTCTTGGGTGCTGGGAACACCTGTAAAACACTGCTGAACTGACTGGGTTCCTTAAAACAGGGCAGCTGGAATGAAGGGCTTCTGTTGCCTGTGAATGCTGCTATATTATTTTCTTCCAAGCACCATTCCTGGAAATAACTATGGTCTTAACCTCTCTCACAGACACTTGTTAGAAGGTTAGAAAGGGCCAATCTGGCCAATACTACTTTTCTTTTCTGTAATGTACTTCGATTCCAGAAATTACCATCACTGTGTCCTGTGGTGGGACTAAGGGACAGAGTAGTTTGGGATGGATTTGGTATCTAGAGCGGGTGAGGAGGTCAGTTTTGAGTCCTAAACCTTATTTCCTGTGAAAGACAGACTGTATGTCAATGTGTGTGTACTTGTTTGGGGAGCTCTGACACTGTACAGTTTAGTTAAATGCGCTCCAGGGGAGGCGAAACTGTTCCTCGGAGGTTTTTAGTTGATGCTTTGTGTTCAAAGAGGAATATTTTTCTTTAAAAAATAAAAACAGATGAGTTTTCACCTCAGTGTGATTCTGTTTCTGGGGAGGTGAATATTTGGGGGGGAAAGTGAGACATTATTTGTGCTTGTCTGTGTGTGTGTCTGGAAGATTCTCCTCACTCTTTTAAAGCTGGCAAGAACTAAGGGAAAGCACAAAGCTTGGGGAGCTTCCCCAAAGCAAGGAGAAGCTCATGACCATAATTCAGAGATGGAAGGGGAAGTACATTGTTATGCTTTGAGAGCTTTCCAACAGTGTGAAGGGAAGTCATCTGCCATTAACTGATGTTCTGAACATCAAACCTTAGGATTTGTGCTTATTTGGCACTTCTGGGGTATTTTCCCTCTGTGAAATGGAGAGTCTTTCTAAGAGTTTCCTTTTATGTGTTATTTTATGGTCTTTAATTTACTTTTTTATTTTGTAATGTAGGTTAAGATGGGTGGGATAAGCTTTTATAGACACAGGCTTTCTAAGCACAGGCGTCAAAGGCTGTAGTTTTCCTTTATTTATACTTTTCTGACTCATGGTTTACTTTGTTAAGACGTGCTGCTAGTTTGTTTTAAAACCTGGCAATGTTCTGTCTTCTCTTGAAATACCTGGAGAAATTCTGTGTACTGCTGTGCAGGAAGCGATGCACTTCACTCCTCCTTTCTCCCCCTATTCCCTCAGTGTCAGAGACCAGTTTGGTTCCCAATCTGTTTTTATTTTCAACACTGGTGTTGTGTTTAATTCCTTTTCCATTACACAGAGCCAGCAAAAACCTAAACTGTGGTCATACAGGTGAGTCTTCCTGTGCTCCATCAAAGAGCTTTTTTCTCCTCCGGTTACAACCAGTAGGGAAGTTTCATGCTTAGTAATTTAAGTATTTCCATCTAGCGTGGAAGTTT